CCATTTTTATTTTGTTGGAAAAGACACACCCCCCTGGTTCACAAAATTTGAGTTCGAGAAATTTTTTTCATTATTCTACATTATAAGTACCCAAAGAAACTACATATATAAAATACTGGATGCAAATAGGTGTTTTGCGATATTGAGAGCAATTTCAAATCTGTTCAGTTTTTTTTTATACACCCTGTATACTGATACAAGCAGTGAATCAGTTTTAAATTCTTCTCCCTAAAGGTCCAGTATAAGATGGACCATCCTTCATATTGGTTCAGTGCAGGGTTCAGTTAACTTCAGTGTTACTACCTTCAAGAGGAAAACTAGCTGAAACCTCAACTAAACTAATTTTATAAAGCAAGAGCGCCTGCTTGCTGCCGATAACTTTCTGTATGCAAGTATGAAAATTGACTGAGATATATCCGAAAACCGCCCTCTTAAATGCGCCCAAACCGCCTATAACCGCTATAACTCATAATAGATCCCCTATACATTATTTTTGTTTTGTGAGATGAATGAGATATTTTATATTACAATATAATACCAAATAAATATGTTCGAACATTTATATCAAATATGTTAAAAATATTTTTTCAGGGAAGCCAGAACAATAAGAGATATTCATAATGCCATTAAAATAATTAAAATGAATAGCTAGATATCAGTTTGCCTAGAAGACGCTACTGCGCTACGACATATATGCATGATAGATAGATCAATCGGTCCGAGTATATATATAGGTGATATTTCGGAACTGTCTGCGTAGCTCAGTTGGTAGAGAGTTGGACTAGTAAACGGCGATTTCCATCGTGTCAATAGTTAAGCAAGTTTGGCTTGCCTGGTGTGAACTGACTATTCTAGAATTACTTTAATTGCCACCGTCTCTACCAGCTATGTCTATGACCTTCCACTTCGTGTAGTGTAAATATTGAAAAGACAGTACACTCTATACGTACATGGACGCTTTATAAGCTATACCCAGTGTTCTTCTTCTTCACTTTTTTTACGATATTTATTGATAAAAATTGTAGCAGGTTCATCTTCAAGTAACATGTCACTAGATAAAACACAATTTAGACATATAATAAGCTGATTTACTTCCCTTAACCTCCTAAAAAGTTACACCACAGCTTACACCTATATAAATCATGTACTTGCACCCAAAATGCCTTTTTGAAATATTTCTACTCTAACACACGCCCAAATTATGTTCATCGCCAGCCCTAGTCATTGAACTTAAATGTATAATCTTAGAAGTTAGAACAGTTACTTATGTTAATCCTGATCTATACTTGAATACTATATATAGTCTATACTGAATATGCACAACATGTGTTTATTATTTCGTGAGCCAAATGCTAAATCATTTATTTGCCGAGCTAATTACATGCTGCGGGATGACACTCTCAATAATCTTGGTACACTGGGCGACAATTACACCTTACACTGTATATACAAGTCTGTTACCCGTTTTCAAACTTATTTATTAGGTTACACGCGAAAGAGGAGAAAGACTTAAGGTCGACCGTTGAGACACACCGGACACGATTCGACAATGCGGAGCGATTTTTTAGTTTTTAAGACTTTTCAGTTTTTAAAAGTTAATAAAACAACCAGTGAAAGGAAATTTTAAAAGATATGCAGACCAAATAACTCAAAATGTTATAGCACTTCTAAGTATTTGAAAAACTTAAACCAGGATCAAAGTTATCGGTAGTTAAAATCGAAGAATCGCGCCGCGTTCTTGAATCGCGTCCGGTGTGTCTCGACCTTTAAGCATTGGCATTCTTTGTAAAATTAGGCATTTTCTAGGTATGCACACCACAATTCAGTTATTCCCGTTGTTGTCGTTGTCGTTGTTTTCGTTGTCGTTGTCGTTGTTGTTGTTGTCAGAACTTACCTTTCCGATTTTTTGTTAATAACTGGTTCTGGTCTTGACATTAATTTCCCCAAGTCAGCACTATGTCTTTTTGAACTTGCTCTAATGAATTTTCCACCGATTCTTCTCCTTGGAGTAACATCAAGTGGAACATTCAGTGTGCTCCTCCCCGAATCTTGATTATCAGGCTTCTCAACTTGATTTCCCTTCAATTTTGATATTGTTCCAGTAGAAGTATCATTATAGGTATCCGACGATGGGTTTTCGTTGTTTAAACGTTTTAATGTTGCATCAATTGCCCAACGTTCAGGATTAGACCGCCTACGTTGTCTTCTTTCCAGAACTTCTTCGTCATTTCTTTCTCGTTGTTTAAGCTCTAATTGTTTCTGACTCTCCTGTTTATTTCCTGTGTTTTTATTCCTTATGCAAGAACTACTCGGAATCAAAAACTTCTTTTTTAATTCATAATTTTCGTTTGTTAGTTTTTCAATTTTCCGTTCTAAAATTCGTCTAGTCCTTGAAAGCTCCAAGGATTTTTCCATCGCGATATCATTAGCTCGTGCATTCTCCTTCCGCAGCGATAGGATGGTTTCGTGTTTCTCTTTGATCCGTTCTTCTAAGATATGCCCGTGCTTTTTAAGTTGAGATATCCTTGACTGACCACCTTGAAGACCCTCATCTCCGTCTTCCGAGGTGGATTTCTCTCCAACAGATGACGTGACATCCCCGCCATCCACGACTTCTCTATAAGACCTCCTTGATAGTTGCTTTTCTTTTACTTCCACTTCCTTCTTCAATGATGAAATTTCTTCTTGCAAAGTCCTTTGAAGTATTTCGCTTTTTTCACATCGTTGTCGAAATGCTTCCCTTTCTTTCTTAGCTCGTTCTAAAGGAGCTTCAATTTCCCGAATGTCTTTGCCAGAACTAGTTTTTTTCTGCCCTTGCATTGCTTTCTTTTCTTCAGTTAGCTGATGAAGCGCAATTTTTAGACTCTCCGTGGCTTCCTTGCCTTTCTCAACCAACTCACTGTTGTCTTGCGAGACCTGATCATTTACATTACTTAATCTCTTCATTTCTGCTTCATGCGAATCTTTCATAGCCTTCATATCCTGGCGAAGAGAATTAATCGTAGCTTCATTTTCGTTCTTTTGTTTCGTTATTTGAAGCAACTCGCGTTCCAGTTTTCGTCGGGATATATTGAAATTTTGAACTTCCTGTAAGAAAGATACTATCAGATGGAAAGGAGAAACAACAGTATGTTAATCAGGCAGGTGCTATAGGCGATGAAAACATGCAAGAAGACGAATACCGCAACAAGAGATAGAACTCTCGAAAAAAATTAAAAAAACCTGAAAAGAAAACCTAAGACATCAAGCGACGCATGAATGAACAAATCAAAGGTATGAGAAGATAACTATTTACCCTTGTCAACTTTTCAATATCGTTTTGCTGTTCTCCACTTGAAGACTTGTATTCTTTTTTCTGTTTTTCCATCTGCTTTACAAGTTTTTCATTTTCTTCTAGCAACAATTTCCTTTCTGCTCTTAATGCATCAATAGCTTTGTTATTACTGTTTAAATTATCATTTAAATCCAAAGTTCCTGGTGTAAAATACGCCGAATACTCTCCGAGCTGCTTTAGAAGGCTCAACTGTTCATTTTGCAAAGATGATACATCTTGCTCTGTGGTGTTCGATAGTGAATCTAAATCGTCCAATTCTGTTAAACACTTTCTTAGTTCTGCCAGAAGTTCATTCTTAACGTCATTTCCAGTTTCATTGTTGACTGGACAGGAAGAGGAGTCCAATGATTTCCAGTACGAGAGTAATCTACGCTTATCATGAAATGAATCGTGTTCCTCCGCACACGTCTCTTGTTTTGTCTTTTGTCTCATCACAACACCTGAATACATTCCACTGCTATGTTTATGTTGAACCGGCTATCGTTCTTTACAGTACACCAACTGAATTAAACCGTATCAACTAAGGAACAAAAATAGACAAGATAGACAAAGATATGAAACAGTAAATGAGCATTGAGTATGTTAGAGGTAGTATGTTATGATTTATAATTATATGGTCAAATTGGGTGGTATATATAGCTGCCATGGATAATAAAGACACCATCCACGATAGCTACCCATTTGATTTTTGATTAGATGTATTCAGATAATATAGTTATTAAGTCCCGAAAGTCGTGGGTTCTCTCCATGCAGGTGCTCCGGTTTTCTCCCACAGTGTGGGTTAGGATAAACACAGTTAAAAAAAGTAGTATCACAATGGTTGTAAAGATAGAATAATCTACACAGCAAAAAACGCCATGCTGTTGAAAACAGGCTTGAACAACGTTTTGCTGCCCACATTGTTCACAGTTGTCAAATGTAAAATAGTAAATACTTAAAAATTATTATGTTTTAACTGAGTTTCCCTTAAATAGATGATTATCATCAAAATAAGGGAAATGGTTAATTTAATAGATTATTGATCATTAAAATAAAGGTGAGGACATGCATGTCCTAGCCCGTGAACAGACTTTGCTCTCGACAAAGCGCGCGTTTTGTCGAGAGCAACGTCTGTTTACAGGCTAGGACATCAGTTGGTTTTTAGCGGATTTCTCACACTGGTTAAAAATGGATTTAAGATCATGCACATTGTAATATATAGAGGATATTACACGGCGGTGCGAAGATATGACTTTTATTTTCGAGTGGTGAAAACACTATTTTACGAGCAGTAAAATATTGTTTTTAACACGAGAAGATAAAAGTCATATCTTCAAGCCACCGTGTAATGTTCTGTTTATTATACAGAGTGTATCAAAAAAACTGAACAGATATGAATTTGCTCTCAATTTCGCAAAACAGCTATTAGTATCCAGTTTTTGATGTACATAGCTTCTTTGGATACTTATAATGTAGAATAATGAAAAAAATTTCTCGAACTCAAATTTTGCGAACCAGGGGTGTGTCTTTTCCAACAAACTAAAAATGGCTTTCGCACGTAATTTAAAAGCTTTAATCATATTTTGAGTTAATAGATGGAAAAGTTGTTGGGTTTTTAATTACTATACAAAATTTCAGACAACTTGCTTTAGTTTAAGCCATTTAAATATTCACGCAAACTTACATTTTTTCCTAAAAATCAGCTATATGCATGCCTAGTTAATGCCTTTGCCCGTGCTTTGCCTAATTTGCATATGTCAGCAATATGCAAATTAGGTAAAGGCATTATTTAAGCATGCGAAAGACTGACTTTTTAGAAAAAAATGAATAGTTAAAGGACTTAAACTAAAGCAAATTGTCTGAAATTTTGTACAGTAATTAAAAACCCAACACATTTGCCATCTATTTACCAATTAATAATCACTCACGGAGTGCCTCATTGCAATATTGTCACCGTTATTGTTCTGCATCTATATAAATGACCTCTCAAGAGTACCACAAGTATCTGAGTTGGAATCATTCGTCGATGATTCTAAGATCTTTATGTCATTTCCAATTGAAGATATTGCTAATGCAAAAACAAAGATAGAGGAGGACCTCAAATTGGTCGCAACTTGGTTTTTCGAAAATAAACTGTTGATAAACCCCGAGAAGACAAAGTTACTCTTGATAGGAACTCGTCAACTGCTCGGTAAGCTCCTTGAGGAGACGACAATTACATTTCTTGGAGAAGAGATTACACCAACCACAAATGCCAAAGACCTCGGCTGGGATTAACCATAGACAGTTATCTGACATACGATTACCATATCAAAAATGTTGTATCATCTTGTATGGCCAAGCTGTGTCAGATAAACAGAGTAAAGGATAGCTTTGATAGGGATAGTCTTCGCTTAATTATCAATGCTTTATTAATGACCAAACTTTATTATTGCTCTACAGTATGGTCAAACACTAGCTTCTGCAACAAATATAAAGAAATTGAGAGCAGTACAGAATTTTGCTTGTAGGATATTGACAAATATACTGGAAGATATGATCATGTAACACGAGCACTACGGGCAATTCGCTGGCTTCCTGTGGAGGAACACTTAAAATATAGAGAGACACTAATACTGATACAAATGTATGAACTGATTAGCACCACCTTATCTACTGATCCAAATTATTTATAAAAAGAAATGAAATTCACGATCTAAATACAAGGAATAATAAAGCGCTACACATCCCTTAACACAAAACAGTTTCAGGACAAAGAACCTTTTATTACAGAGCGGTGAAGTTATGGAATGACTTGGATGAAGACCTTAAAAAGTTACCTTGGCCGAATTTAAAACTGAGTTAAAGTAGAAGATGCTAAACAACAATTAATTACATTTTCTGATATTATAGATTTAATAGATTTTAAATAAATGATAAATATGTAAATATACTTCTGATCGTATATAAATATAGATCGTGATAAATATAGACAAATAGATTTTAATAAACGCTATAAATAGGAATTTTAATATAACTACTCGTTCTGTAAATAGGTATTGAAAAACCCTCTCCGGGAATACTTCATTGAATAATAATAATAATAATCTATTTTCTCAAAATATGATTGAAGCTTTTAAATTTCGCGCGCAAGCCATTTTTAGTTTGTTGGAAAAAACACACACCCCTGGTTCACAAAATCCGAGTTCGAAAATTTTTTTCATTATTCTACATTATCAAAGAAGCTATATACATAAAAAACTGGATACTAATAGCTGTTTTGCAAAATTGAGAGCAACTTCAAATCTGTTCAGTTTTTTTTTATACACCCTGCATATAGTCCCAAGCAAAAAGATTGTGAAATTTCACGCTCAAAAGCAAATTGGAAAAAGTCACGTGATCGATATCTTCACAAGTGAATATATGGAAAATATTTCACTGTGTATTTTTCAGTATCTCACTCTCTACTATAAAATAAAACTTTATAAGTGCCTCCAAAACGCTGGAATGCCGTTTCAGTATACCAAAATTTCGGGTAGCATACCTCCGGACCTTCCTAGTTTGGAGTCCGTCCCCCCCCCCCAATTTTTGGGATGGATTGACACCCTTGCAAGTGCAACAGTTGATCAAGGCAAAAGGGTAGCACCACTAAGGGAGGGCAGTGCTGAAGCCATGGATGCGGAGTTTCAGTATATGCTAATCCTAGAAAAGTTTTGGCAAGTCAATGCCAATAACAAGTGAAGAAGTAAGAGTTATTGAGGAGGAATGCTTCCTAATAATGCTTTAAAATTGGGTGGATTTCAACTGTTGTGATCAATTCAGTAATTGAATTTCTCATCAGGTAGCTTGAGACTGGGGAGACAAAGCGGTTGGGATTTGATATTGGTTCGGTGGCCAGGCAACCACAATTCATTATACTATTTGACATTTATTTGATAAAAAGATAATCCAAGTATTATTGACCTTTGGGCCTTTGACAGTCTAGTGTGACAAATTAATCCTCTGCAATAGCACTCGTGGAATTTATAACTACAGGCAGCCCACGTTCCTTGAGTTTATTGTCACAGCAGGGAACACTTACAGAATACAATTGTTCAAACTACCGAACTAGAACGTACTTTTGCTTTTATAAATTATGAGGTTTAGAAAGACATATTTATTACCAGTAGATTATAAAAATGCTTTTTCCAAGTCGCAACAAAATAAATATTAACAAAGAAACTCTGGCTTAACTAAGTCTTAACTGATTTCGCAGCGTCTGTCACACGGCATGAGACGGCGGTTCTTCGTCTTCGCCCTCTCATCCTATCTTACACGAGGCAACCGAACGACCACCTACTTTATATGATATTACACACGTAGGCTTTCCTTAACTGATTCGCAACTTAACTGTTCAAACAATGCTGCAATACTATATGGTATTTCATTTCTGCAATATAAGACTATTGCCTACGTCGAGATCTATGTTTTGTTTACAAAATGAAGTGCTTATAAGCGTCCTACTTCACGGCACGAACCGAGTATTTTCACCTGAAGTACTCTCAGCAATCAACTCAAATCTCAATATACTAACATTGTAACATTAAACGATACATCATAACTCATAAGAAAGCGAAAGGAGAACGAAAATACTACTTCACAAATCATGTTTCCTTTTGATTAGGAAATGACTTGTGAACTCATCTGTCAACACAGAATATTGAGGAAGAATTTATAGCGTTTAGCTGCTTATTACGTCCGTAATTCTTTTAAAATTTCTAAGAAGTAAAAGTAAGATCTTACCATAACCACTTGTCCAGGAGATATTTCTACACGAGGTTAACATACAGCTCGATCATATGGAAGATAGACACAGTTCAACGTACATGTTGAAGGAGTGTACACAATATAAACATGATGAAATTTGCATTCAATAATTTATTATGCAAATTTCAAAGGTGTAGGAAGTTACAAAGTGAATCGATATATTTTAATTGAGCCAAAGTCAAGGAGTTTTGTTTGATATTTTTTGTCGCACATTTTTGACATTTTTCTGACTGTACTTACACCCACAACTCACAAGTGTTTCCCTCTTTTTTTTTCCGGAACTGAAACCGTGGCCGAAAATTTCAAAAAATATATAAAACACATTCCGATGTGGAAAAGTCGTCTACAGAAATTCAATACAATATGAACTAAACAAAATGAGTTTTAACTTCAATTAAGATGACCCTTTTCTTCCGAACTGTTTTTTTAACTATTTACTTTGAAGTATCATTTTTTGAACACAAAAAATCTGGATCACTTTCGAGTCATTGGGGGTCAAGCATATTCAAGAACCGTTACCTAGAATTAAGGCTGATTTCCACTGTTGCGTTTTTCGTACGCACGTAAAACTTTGAATCCTTCTATTTTTTAAATATTTTACAAATAAGTTAACAAATGCATACTAAAACTTGCGGAACACTAAATTCTGTTGGTTTATTTATTTGGTTATTTCATAAGTAACATTTAAACGGATTTAAAGTTTTACGTGCGTATACGTACGTATGAAAAACGCAACAGTGGAAATCAGCCTTTACTGAAGAAAAAGTTGCAAAAAATCTAGGAGGAAGGCTCCCTGATGAAATTGATCAAGATGTTTGACATTGTTATTTGACGACATAAAAGAAAAAGTGGTGAAGCACAGTTTGGCACGTTAGTCTTACACACATAATGGCAGCGAAGGTACTTGGTAAGGCGGTAAGAATAATCTGTTGGAAATCTTTCTCAAAATTGAGGTTCGACCATCCGATATTATATCTCCAGATGCCAGGTAGATCACAAGTGACAAAATTTGGTAATACATTTTCCTATCCTGTTTTAAATATCCGAAAGAATGTTTAAGATAATTCAGAAAAGGGCACATAGCCATAAGGTAATTTTGAATTCAACATAACTTTAAATCGAATTCTTGTCCCCAGAGCCATTTTCACTCGGTCACTCGTTGAAAATTAGGGAGGACGCGCGCGGCCGAAAGCCCCTGGGGACGAGGATGCCTTAAATCGTTGAAAGAGATATGTGCGTTGGTCATGAAGCTTATTAAAAATGTTTGTTATCATTAATTTTCTCAAAGAAAATATATCGTCATCGTAATCGTAAAAAGCGACTTTTCAAAGTTGTAACTGGCTGTAAATTTACCATTATACACACAACGACATTGATAAAAAGTCGACGCATTTTGTGGCGCGTACAATCTCAGAATTGGGACTTGGGAGAGGCAGTACCCCCAAAATGGCAAATAAGCCTGCGAATGGTGTTGAAAGAGGGTTTTACTTTTAGCCTGCGAATGGTGTTGAAAGAGACGAGATCAAATTATACGAACTATATTTGATAGTTTGGCATGTAAATCTAAACAGTAAAACCATTACTGTGTCTGTAACAATACAGTTTCCCTCGCAGTCGGCATGCAGTTGTACTGCATCAGCATTCAGTAATTAAACAAAGAACTATACGCAACTGCAACCACAAAACAATAACTGCAACTGATAGTACAGTAACATGCAGTAGAACAATTACTGTAACTAATGTACTGCAACTGCATGTTTAATGGCTTAAACAACACAACCATGACCATGCCAGTTATCATTTCTGTAATTAGGTATAATTACGTGTAACTATAATCGAACAGTATTCGCAAATAAAATCAGTATATTGGAACCCAATCCAAAACGCCTGCCTACACTATATTCTATAATCAGTAACAAGAATCGAATTTTAATTAATTAATCAGGTTATTGCGAATGTGTTCAGTCTTTGTATCAAATTTATTCATGCTCTACAATAAATATCAAGTGCGCAGTTAGTGTCAATAGTCAAGTCACAAAGCATGCTGATAGCGCATCCACTGGTACAAAAGAGAATAGTGCGTTTGGATAGAAATTGACAATGACACTTTTAATATTAGCGTAAAGAGGCATAGTACAAAACATGGACTGGACTGGACAGTTGGACTAGACTGGACAGTTGGACTGGACTGGACAGTTGGACTGGACCTCTCTCCTCCGCAGAGGCTTTAGTTTTCTTAGGATTTAATATTACGATGAGATACATTTCACTACACTTTACATGGCGGATCTTGGAACACGAGCGTAGCCGCTGGGCGACGGACTGGACTGATTTTTACATTTTCTCTATTCTTGACTTGCACGTCAGCCACCATGTCAGGTGGCATGGCACAAAAGAATATTTTATCACAGAATAGATATACCATGTCATGTCTATTTTGTGATTTTATCGATGAACATTGTCTGGTGTGTACCAGGAGGAGATTGGTTGCAAGTCAAGAATATAACGTTTTGCACCTGAATTACTTTTGATTTTCGGAAATTGAAATACTTTACCTTCGCCGATGACCTCACTTTATAACTGGAGTGAAATCTCTTAAAGCGAAAGAAACCCCAGTAAGGGGCCGACCATTTAACTTTTGAGGGGGGAGGAGGTGGGAGATTTACTGCTGGAAGGGAATTTGTGTTCTTGATATGGGATCGTTATGTGCAAGATTTTTTCCCCCTATCCCATCACCATGTACGATATTTTTTTGCCACTCTCTCTTTCGCAGCATTTTTTTTCAATAGCTTATACTATTTAGATTCTTTAATTAATAATAGTTAACGTTGAGTTTTCATGCATTGCTTTTAAGAATACATATTTCTATGAGGTATAAGATTTGGTTCAGGGCCTCTTTACGGATGTGTAACTGGAGGGGACATATTTAGCGGGGGACCTGGAGAAGTTCCAGTCGGCAAGACTGTATCACTGCAGCTACCATGCAGCATATATATGCATGGTTTAACTAATAAGTATACGCCATAGGGCAGCAGATCAGGCCAATATTAACTAGGATTCTGAGACAACTGAGTCGACCACCGAAGGTGCAAGCCTCTAGAGGAGTCTGGGGGCATGCCCCCCCAGAAAATTTTGGATTTCGTGAAGCTCAGATAAGCTATTTTGAGGAGTTTTCCAACAAGAAATTACCTTACACTAGTCTCCGAAAATCAAACCAGCTGATCTTCTTGGACTGGTCAAATCGATCCCTGCAACCATGCTGTTTTGCAACATTTTCCCCCCACCAAATACTGGGGCAGGATATTTTTCCCCCCAGTTTGTTAGTGCAGGCTTTCTTGTTTTGTTCAGAATAGCCTTGCAGGAAATGTTTTTTTCAAAATCACCCCTCCCATCCCCCTCAAAAGTTAAATGGTCGGCCCCTAAGTAGAATAGAATAGAATACAATACCAAACATAAACTACTTGTAGCCTGCGGGAGCCTGCTCGGATAAGTATGGCCATGGTCGTAGGAAGATCGATATTTTGGGGGGCTCATATTCATATATTCATGTTCGCAGACCGTAAAAACAATCAAATTCAAAAGAAGTAAATGATGCAGAACACAAGTATATGAATATGAGCTCCTGCCCCCCCCCCCCCCCCCCCCCC